ATTAAAGGCCCATCTGAGTACTTGTCATACGAGGTCACCCTATCTTTGAATCAGAAGGTACACTCAGAGCTCCTAGGGTCACATCCCAGGCCCAACCAGCTAAGGTCAGTCAAGGAAGGTCTGGAGGTCAGTGTCGTGAGGAGTGGGGGGTCAGTGTCACTGGGAGTATGGGGACCAGTTGTGGAGTGGTGGGAGTCCCAGGTGCTGTATGAAGCCGAGCCTTTGGATCACTCTGTGATTCCACATTTGGTCCCTTCTTGGGTGTCTGATATTCCCGGGACTCCAAGGAAATCAAATGCTGCAAGCTTGGGTTGGGGAGCTGTCCAGGATGGGTCAGGTGTGGTCTCATTGATCCTACACTTCTGCCTCCCAGCCCACTCCCAGCCCTCTTCTGATATTAGAAATCAACACGGATTGCCTTAGGGTGGTGGTTCGCAAAGTGTGGTCCTGGGGGAAGCAGCATTGGCATCACCTGGGAACTTAGATATGCAATCTTCGGGGCCTGGCCTGGACTTACTGTATCAGAAACTCTCCATTTTAACAAGCCCCCAGCAGAATTCTGCTTTTCAAATCAGATCTCTGTCTCTCTCTCTCTTTCTCTCTCTCTCTCTCTCTGTGTCTCTCTCTCTCTCTCTCTCTGTCTCTCACTCTTTGTTTCAAGTCTCAATATTGAATAACTGTGACTTCTGGATAGTCAGATGTTAGACAACCTTTCTGCCAGGAAGCACCAGGCTCCTTGATCAGCTTATTCTCATTCTTGGCCTGGCCCAGAGGAAGATGTTCACTTCCTGGATTCTGAGCAAAGCTCTCCTATCCTGGGTGTCTGTGGTGCTCCCACTTATACCACAAAACAAAGTTCAAATAATATTCTTTTCTTTTATGAGATTTTTGGTATTCCTTCATTAGTCAGAGCTGAAGATCTACATATATGTCTACGAAGCAAGTGTGCATGTCTCACTAGCCAGTTTGTTAGTCTTGCCAATGCACCACAATGTAGCAGCCTCTCAGTGTCTTCTTGTGAGGTGTTACCTGGAGTTCTTTGTCTCACCACCAAGAGAATTAAGGAGCGTGGATACAAAGAGTGAGGTTGGAGCAAAAGTTTAATAAGCAAAAAAAGAAAGCTCTCCCCTGCAGAGAGGGGGCTTGGAAGAGGGTTGCCATTTTTACAGTTGAATGCAAAGGCTGATGAGGGCTGGGTGTCTCATTTGAATAAGGCACGAATTTATGGTAGCTCCACCCCATCCTCCTAGTGCCCATGTGGACCCTTAGCTTGACTCCACATTGCTTTGTTTCCCTTACTGCCCATGTATCGGGGAACAGAATTTTCCATTGCGGGCATGTCTGGGCAAGTTTCCTGTGTAGCCTTTCTTATTTGTGCAGCTGTGGGCATGTCTTAGGCAAGCCCCCCTGTGCAAGTTCCCTTTTCTGTGCCTGCAGGCTGTTCTTTTGTTTGAAATAATTCAACTGAGGACCCACCATAACTGGCCACCTGACCAGTTTCTTCCTTTTTCCTCTCTCAATTTGTGTTATAATTTCCTTACTGATCTCTGCCTGAGCAAGACTGGGCATACCTTGAAGGCAAGGAGGGTTTACTTCCTCTTACCTCAGTCCCAGCTCCTCTTAAAACAATGCCCGGCACGCAGTAGGTATTTGATAAATGTTTGCCAAATGAAGGGATTGCCTGCAATGGCCTGGCAGACAGGAAAGCAGAATGAAAACCCACAGGCCAAAAGTGGCTGGGAGAAGATTTTCCAAATCCTGGTGCTGGGCACAGGGCCCACTAAAGTTCACTTTTGAACCTTCCCATCTGTCTCATCCTCCTCTCTTCAGGGACATCCGTGCCCCACAGAGCCCACTTAGTCACACACTACCTTTCAGGACCACCTTCCAGATCAGCCAGGCACAAACCCCACAGACTTCCTGCCTGTGGCTCCAAATCCTCAGCTGAAATTCTGAGGCTAATTTCAGTGGAGTTAGAGGCTTATCCCTTAGGAGTGGCAATGGCTGGCTTTAAGATTCGAGAAGTAGTGTTTCTAATTTTTTAATTTTTTTTTTTTTTTTTTTTTGAGACGGAGTCTCAAAAGGCTAGAACATTACCAGGCAAGCAGGAACATCTAAAACATTTGCTGAAATGGAGTTCTCTGTTTGCCTAGCCATAGGTTTGTTGCCTCATGATTTCACTGCATCTGAGCACCACGGAGCGGGGCGACAGTGCAGGTCACTAGTCCCTTGTTTCCTGATTCAGGAACAGCATTCTGTTCTACACTTACAGTCAAAGGAAATTACATCATTATAAGATGTTTAATGATGAAGTCAAAGTCCACAGAGTCAGCAAGTAAGTGTAAAAACCTCAGGAGTCCAAGGAGAGTCTACATTTCTCCCCGGAAATGGCCTCACGATGCGCTGTTGAAGGGAGCGGGTCCTTTCAAGGGGCCCCAAGATGCAGGAGCAACTGGGCTGCAGCTCTCAATAAAGATGCCCTTTCTACCTGCAGTTCCACGAAACCTCACAGGCAACTTCGGTGATCTCACCTGAGCTAGGAATTCGGGTTTTTGATGTTGGTTCTCTTTGAGCCATTGTGTGAGCTTTAAAATGTGATGTGGAGATTTTGCTATACTGGTGTTTTCTTGCTGGAATTTGACATCCGTGGTGGCTCTGGCTTCCCTGTCTGGTTCCAGGAGGAAATGGAGTGTCCTGCACTTTTTTTCAGCATCTCTTTGTGTAAGAAGGATCAGGAGACTTGGAGTCAAGGGCTCCTCCAATCTCACTCTCCTCCATAAAACAGTGTCCCGTAAGCTTTCTGGGGGTGAGGGCCTTGACACTGTGCTGTTCTGATGAATATAATTGTCCCAGCTCCTGAAATAAAATCATAGGTGTACAAAATACCGACTCTTGCAAGCAATGCCAAGGTGGGGATGTTTCCTGGGCACCAGGTTTAGCACTTTGACTTTGTATGTACACACACAGGAGCCAGGCATTGTGGTTTATGCCTATAATCTCAGCACTTTGGGAGGCTGAGGCATGAGAATTGTTTGAAGCCAGAAATTCAAGACCAGCCTGGATAACAAAGCAAGACCCAGTTTCTACAAAAAAAAAAAAAAAAGAAAAAAAAGAAAAAATAGATGTATATACATACACACACACACACACATAGTAGTGGCTCCAATCTGTAGTCCCAGCTACTCGAGAAGCTGAGGCGGGAGGATTACCTGAGTCCAGGAGTTGAAGCCTGCAAGGGGCTGTGATCGGGACACTGCTCTAGCTTGACCATTAGAGTGAGACCCTGTCTCAAAAACAAACAAACAAAACAAAACAAAGCAAAATACATACACACACACAGCCAGAGTCAGCGCTAAGGGAGAGGGTGACCTCGGGGTGGGGTCACAGGCATTTCTCAGGTCCCTCTCAATGGCCGTTGTCTCTTTTTCCTGGAGGTGGAGGAATCTGTACTCCATGAGGGGAAGTCCTCTGAAGAAGGCGGGAGATACTTAGGAGCAGGGTCCAGAGAGCAAAAAGGATGAGGAAGTGGAGGCAAAGTGTAGGGGGCAGGGCAAGAAGGGAGCATGTGAGGAATAGGGAGGGGGAGGACCTTCCAGCTGTCAGAAAAGTCAGGCAGAATTTGGCTCTTGGTTTTTGTGCTTTATAAGAATGGATTTGGGGAACCAGCCGGAGTGGGAGATAAGAGTCTACTTTGCAGAGGACACGCGTGAGTCTCCTAGTTTGAACTCATCAGTAGCAGCTGACAGCCAGGACCCTTGTGGGGGGCACGTGACACCCCTTTGCAACCAGGGTGTTTTCTGCACCCCACTGGCCGCCCCTCCTGGGACAGTGCTGGTCCCTCCAACCCTAACAGGGAGGGAAGGAAGGAGAGATCTGGAGGCTTTGGGTCCTCCCTTGTGCTCCTTCTTCCTCTGCCCTTTATTCCCTGAGTGTCCTAGCCTTTCCTCTGCTACCAGGACCCCACTACGGCAAAGCGCATCCTGCACACTGGCCTGGACTCCCTTTGTAACTATCCAGTGGGTTCATCTTGCCCGCTACCTAGACAAAACCGATTTACCAAGACAGGAGAATTGCAATAGAGAAAGTAATTCATACAGAGCCCTCCGTGCGGGAGACTAGAGTTTTATTACTCAAATCAGTCTCCCTGAAAACTCTGATCAGTTTTTAAGGATAATTTGGTGGATGGAGGGGCCAGTGAATCGGGAGAGCTGATTGGTTGGCTCCGGTATGAAATCATAGTGAGTGGAGGCTATTCTCTCAGGCTGAGTCAGTTCCTGAGTCGGGGCCACAGGACTGATTGGCAGGTCCAGATGGGGCCCTCCAGTTGTTAGAAATGCAAAAACCTGAAAAGACATCTCAAAAGGCTGCTCTGAGGTTCACAATAGTGATGTTACCTTCAAGAGTAACAGGATAAGTTGCAAATCTTATGACCTCCGGAATAATGGCTGGTAATATTCAGAATTCCAGCCCCTCTCATCCTAACTTAATGGCCGGTGGCCTTTCTTCGTTTTACAAGAACAGTTTCCTTTTAAACTATAAACTAAATTCCTTCCCAAGGCTAGTTCAGCCTATGCCTAGAAATGAACAAGGGCAGTTTAGCGGTTAGAAGCAAGATGGGGTCACTTAGGTCTGATACCTTTCACTGTCATCATTTCCTTAGTTAAAATTTTGCAAAGGCGGTTTCATCTTGGCTTCAGACCTACCAATGCAGTATCACTGTGCCCTGTCCTTCCAACCACCGCCACTAGGTGGAAGCAGAGCGAGCATCGCCCAGATGGGCTAGATTCTTGCCACAGGCTCACTGCTAGAACGAACACTCTTGAGACTTTAGATCTGAAAGTCAGCCTGATTTCTGAAAGCCTTTGACCGGTTCCAAAATCAAATCAATACTCCAGGAACAAGATCTGCCTCGGCTTTGTCTCCACCCAAGAACGCTATGGCAACGCAGTTTTCAAACGTGCTTTGAGAATAAATGGAAGGGTCCCCTGTGTCCACACTCATTTGTGTTTTCCTTTTTATTACAGCCAACCCCTTTTGTAAATATTGTTACACGTCTCTCTATTCCATTGTAAACATCTCTTTCAAAGGCACTTTAAGAAAGATTCAATGCCATGAAAATATGAAGGATCCTCTTGAAAGAGAGTTTCTGGTGGTGGGTTTTAATGAACATTTTGGTTTTTAAAACTCTGTAACTATTTCGTTGTGGGGCTTAGCTTCATATTTTCAAACTGAAATATTCTCTTCCTTAACCTCCACATAAATCCAAGTTTATAATTTTTATTATTTTAAATTTTTATTTATTTTTCTGTTTTGGGGACAGGGTCTCCTCCTGTCACCCAGGCTGGAGTGCAATGGCACAATCAGAGCTCTCTGCAGCCTGAAACTCCTGGGCTTAAGCAATCCTTCTGCCTCTGATTCCCAAAGAACTGGGATTATAGTCATGAACCACTGCAATCCACCCAAATCCAAGTTTATACTAAAAGATAAAATTTCAACATTGTAGGGGATTGGTCAGGTGGTGGGAATAATTATAAAGATAAAGTTATAGGTAATAGATACAAACCTTCTTGGAAGGCAGAAAGTTTTGCAAAAGCCTCAGGATAGGGTTATGGCTGAAAGCAGCCTAATCCTCTTACCTTGAGTTAATAGCTTCGAGTAGGTACAAAGACATGTAAGGGAGTTTATCTAAAGAGCATGTTTACTCATGTGGTCCTAAGACCAACCTTTGATCATTTGTAGTACTGCTCTCTCCGGGGGGATGGCGACCAGATTAATTACCCACAGATATGTTGACTCAAAGCCTTTGTCATTAAATCTATGCTGAATAAAGGCCCACAGGGTCAGCTAGTGAAGGTATGCAGCTGCCACAACCCTTTCTGTGAGTGGCCCGGCCCCCGGCGCACTCTTTCACTGAATATCGGTGTCTTGAGTATGTTATTCATCCATCCTGCAGCCTGGGTCTGCCGGTCAGACCCCAGCACAACATCTAAGAGGAAATGAAAGTCACAAAGTTATCCCAGTCTCTGCAGTCACTGTCAAAACTTTCGTGAGGAATCTTCCAGGTTTTCCCCTACTTAAAATATATATTAATATTATGTAAGTGGTATTAGTGGCATTTTCGCCCAGGCTGGAGTGCAGTGGCATGATCTCAGCTCACTCTAACCTCTGCCTCCCAGATTCAAGCGATTCTCCTGCCTCAGCCTCCCAAACAGCTGGAACTACAGGCACCCGCCACCACGCCTGGCTAATGTTTGTATTTTCAGTAGAGACAGGGTTTCACCATGTTGGCCAGGCTGATCTTGAACTTCCGACCTCAGGTTATATGCCCGCCATAGCCTCCCAAAGTGCTGGGATTACAGGCATGAGCCACTGTGCCCAGCCTCCTTAACCTTTTAAAAAAGGTTAAAAGTATGCTTGGCATATCTTTTCATAGCAATACTTAAAATGGCTCTTACTCTTTTTAATGACAGCACAGAATTTTATCATGTAGCTGTTCTTTGGGAGACGACTGAAATCTTCTTTATCTTCACTGTGGTAAAGGAGATGTGGGTGTGTGCAACAGCTAAAATTCATCAAGTTGAACATTTTAAATAGATGCAGTTTATTGCATGCAAAGTATGCCCCAATAAGATGATTTAAAAATATTATCCTCTTTGAGGCTTGTACTTTGCTTATGTGAAACAAAACAAAACAAAAACCTTGTTCTTGTGCCCAGGAGACACACCCTGACACATCTGGAGGTAGAGGGTCATGCTCTCTGCAACTTACCTCCACAGGCCCTGAAATAACAATAATAGCAGTATGTTTACAGATTCACAGAGAGAGAAAGCTATTGTAAAAATGTTCATAAGTAAAACTAGATAAAGAGCAAAAAAAAGAAATAATGAAACTGCGTCTTTTAAATTTTATCTCTCCGGCCGGGCGCGGTGGCTCACGCCTGTAATCCCAGCACCTTGGGAGGCCGAGGTGGGCAGATCACGAGGTCAGGAGATCGAGACCATTCTGGCTAACACAGTGAAACCCCGTCTCTACTAAAACACAAAAAATTAGTCGGGCGTGGTGGCGGGCGCCTGTAGTCCCAGCTACTCGTGAACCCGGGAGGCGGAGCTTGCAGTGAGATCCCGCAACTACACTTCAGCCTGGGCGACAGAGCGAGACTCCGTCTCAAAAATAAACACATAAATAAATCTCTCCTTGACTTTTTCTCTCCCCTTTTCTTCCTATCTCTTCCCTCCTTTCCTCAACGCGTCCCCCTATCCTTCCCTCTTTTCTGCATTCTCTGCATTTGATCTCCGGTGTATTCCAGCCTCCAGGCCAACAAACGTGTCCGCGTCCGCCGGGGGCAGGTCAGGGAAGGGACGCGAGGCGGTGCTGTCACCGCATTCTGAGAGCCGCAGCGACCTGGGCCCCTTGTATCATTTCAGTGAAGGTCACTCCAGTCTTTGATGGAGGCCACACTCGGAGCGTAAATTAGGATCCTCACTGAAGTGGCGGGACCCTGAGAGGCTTTTTCCTGGCCCCTTAGTTGTGGGTTTTCCTGCGGGCGGTGGAGCCCGTTTCCATCAGAACTGCCCAGAGGCGGGCGCTGCCTTCCCGGGGAGACGGAGCAGCAGGAAGCGTTTTCGGATCCTGGAATCCGTGGGCGGCCCGTGGGAGGGACTGAGGCGCATTTCCCTACTCACCCGGCTCCGAATCCACCGCGGTGCTGTTTCAAGCGACTCAGATTCCAGATCGCGCTCCAGCCCGGACTCGGAATTCCTGCCCCGCGGGTCTGCATTTCACAGCGGCAGGTGTGAGTGACCCGCAGCTGGAGACCAGAAGCCTGAAGGCAGCTCTGCCCTCCCCAGCCCGCAGCGCCGTTATTCCGTTTCTATATCAGTGAACACGTTTCGTTTTCCGTAGACCAGGGCGGGGTGACGGGTGATCCCAGTCCTCGCAGTGAACTCCGGGCCGCAGAATTCAAAACGCTTGCGGGCAAGGCCGGGCGCGGTGGCTCTCGCCTGTAATCCCAGCACTCTGGGAGGCCGAGGCCGGCGGATCACCTGAGGTCGGGAGCTCGAGACCAGCCTGACCAACATGGGGAAACCCCGTCTCTACTAAAAATACAAAATTAACCGGGCATGGTGGTGAATGCCTGTAATCCAAGCTAGTAGGGAGGCTGAGGCAGGAGAATCGCTTAAACCTAGGAGACGGAGGTTGCGGTGAGCCGAGATCGCGCCATTGCACTCCAGCCTGAGCAACAGGAAGGAAAACTCTGTCGGAAAAAAAAAAAAAAAAAAGCTTTCGGGGCCGGAGCGCAGCCCCGCCCTGGGTTATGGGAGCGACCGCGCTGGGCCGTTTCTCTTTCTTTTCCGGACCCTGCAGTGGCACCTAAAGTCTGCAAGAAGGAAATCGCCTCTGTGCTCCTGAGTGCATGGGGTATAAGGCAAGTGCTGAGGGAGAAAACGTAGTTGATGGGGCAGAGCAGACGGGGCTGGTGGTGGGGTGGAGGGGGAGGGCTTTGGACAGAAGACCTGGGGGGCTTGGTGGGAGAGGGATGCCCAGGCCTGGGCACTAAGAAGCAACTCTCCTGGAGCTTGAGACCATGTTGGCCTCCCCCAGCCCTGGAGAGGACTGGCTTCATGTCTCCCTGAAACCACTTCTAAATGCCTTAGAACAAACCTTGCATATTTATTATTATTATTGAACTATTAAGTCTTTTTTGGCGGTGAGCTGAATGAGATGCTTTGCTGGAGCTGGCACAGGGAGAAGGTCCTGGAGGGAGGGTAGACACTGTGGAGGGAAGGGCTGGGTCCATCTCCCTCTCTGTCTCTCACTAGGCTTACGATCTTTAGCAGTGAAAATAATCTCTCTGAGGCGGGGAAAGGACTCCAGTCCCTGCTGTGCTCAATAAATTATGAGGATCAAAATAAATTATCAGTGAATGTGAATGGGAAAACTAAGAAATTGTTAAAACTCTCAAATATGCTACATTTTAATCCACAGAAAAGTATAGGCTAGGGATCATGGGGGAATAGTTAGTAATGACAGGTATAGTTTAACTTTAAAAAAAAAAAGTTTGTGAGGCTGACAAAGAAGAAATGGGCACATTTCCTGATCTTGGAGGGTTCACAGGGTAGAAGATGGTAGATGACAGCTGGGTGTGGTGGCACTCTCCTGTAGTCCCAGCTACTCAAGAGGCTGTGGTGGGAGGATTGCTTGAGCCCAGGCATTCAAGGTTGCAGTGAGCTATAATCACGCCCCTGCTTTCCAACTGGGTGACAGTTGGAATAAAAAAATAAAATAAATAAAAAAAGATTCAAGGCAGGGCACAGTGAGTAGTACTATTAGGAAAGTTCAAACCACGGGCTAAATCTGTAGTTCTAAAACGACTATACATTGGAAACACGTAGGGAACTTTAAAAGATACTAAGATTTAGGTCCAACCTAGGTTTACTGATTTAACAACCTAGGTTGTGGCTGTGGCCTGGGAACATGGATTTTGAAAACTCCAGGTGGTTCTATGCAGTGGCTAGGTTTGAAGACCACTGCCTAGATGGCTCAGCGACTAAGAGATGCACTTTGGGGACAAGGCAATTCTCTTAGTAGAAAGAGGCTTTCCGGACAGCATTCTTACTATTGAGAATTAAGAATTCATATGCCACACAATTTATCCTTTTAAAGTGTACAGCTCAGTGTCTTTTAGCATAATCACAAGGTTGTGCCACTGTCACCACTATCTACCCTGGAAGATTTTTTTCCTTTTTTTCTTTTTTCTTTTCTTTTTCTTTTAAAGGCTAGTCAAGTGAAACACTGGGAGTGAAGAAGAAACAAAGACATCTGTAACTAGTTGTGATCAATTAGTTGTAAACACCACTGCACTCAGACCAGCCTAATTGGGAAGATTTTAAGGCTATGGTGTGGTCTGATGGGTTCCAAGTCAGAGGTGACAGTAACCTGGAAGAGGGAAACTGCTTGAGAAGTGGCATTCTGGTGGGATAGGGTGAGGAGATCCCAGAGCCCACTTTTACTGCAACCCTGGAGAGATGTCATCAGAGAAATGGGGGTGGTGCCAGACAGCAGGTTGTGGCAGCTGTGGTTTCCATGATAGAGTAGAAGCATCCATCATGTGTGACATTCAGCAGATGGGGCGCTGTGGGTAGCTTGGAGCACTCTGGTTGTAACTGAGGCAGGCACAGTGTTTAGGAAGCCTGTGCAGTAATCTAGGCTGAAGGGAGGGGAAAGCCCAGACTAACATTGTGGCTGTGGGATTGAAATAGGGTTGGAGGAGCTGACTTTGATTCCCGGAGATGAAGGGGAAAGAGGAAATCAGAAAGGACCAAGGATGGTGATGTTCTTAAGAGAAACTGAGGAGGAAGAGAGGATGATGTGGTGGGAGATGTGTAGAGAGTCCTTGTAGATCTGCCACATTGGAGGGGACTATGGTCCCAGAGGTACAGATGTCCTAAAACAGGCTGGAAAAAGGAGTCTGGAGAGAGCTTGGTGTAGTGAACCATGGGGAGCCTCCTCGTTGGCCCTGTGATCACCCAGGGACTGAATAGAGAGGCGGCCCTGGGAGACCTCAGACACTTAAAGGATATAAAGGGGCCTGGCTTTGAGTCAAAGGGAGGAGAAGGAGATTATAAAGCTGAAACGTCTAAGAGAGTTTGTGGTCTGAGCTGTTCTACTGGGGCAGGTACTTTTGAGAGGCAGAGGTGGCTGAGATCTGGAAACAGGTCTGCAAATCTGGCCAGTGACGCTGTGCGCGGTTAAGGGAGTGTGTTGGGAGAATAGCCACGCATTGTCCGTCCCGGAAGGAACAAGCCAGCGAGAGCCGATCTGATGGGGCGGCCGGCGAATGGGGCTTGGTGAGGCCCGCGCTCCTAGGGGTGGGGGTGTGGGGATGGGTGGTCGCGATGCCGGGAGGGCGGGCAGGGCCCTGGCCGTGCTCATGAAGTTGGAGCTGTTCTCTCAGCTACTCGAAGCTCGTCCCTGCTTTAGGCTGCGCTCCCGCGTGCTCCCCTTTTCTGGGAGCCAAGTCCCGCCTTCTAAATCTCCCCAAGTCTCCAGCCCACTGGAATTTTCTCTTCCGAGCGTGGCCCCGCCCTCTCCGCTCCTGATTGGTCCTAAGTTCCGGGCCCCAGTTTCATTGGATGAGCGGTCGGGGCCGGGCCAGGTGATTAAGTTTCCGCCGCGCTTTCCCCCCCGGGCTTAGCTCAGTTCGCCACTGCTTGAGCCGCTGAGAGGGTGGGGACGTCGGGGCCATGGGACTGGGCCGGGTCTTGCTGTTTCTGGGCCGGGTCTTGCTGTTTCTGGCCAGCATATTCTCTTTTACACGTCCGCGAGCCGCTGCTGGTGAGTGGCGTTCCTGGCGGTCCTCGGCGGAGCGGGAGCAGCGGGGCGTTTCGGGGGGTCGGGTGGGTCGCGGCGAGCGCTGTGTGTCAGGGCGGGGCTCAGGTGCGCTGTCGGTGGTGCGGGGAGCCGGACGCGGCCGTTGCCGCCACACTTCAGCCTGCTTTCCCGTCTCTTTTCAGTCCTCGGGATCCCGCATCACCTGCCTATTCTGATCTCCTCCTGCGCTTGCTCTCCTCGCCTCTCCTCCGCTTCCTCTCACTTTTCGGACAAACCAGTCCTTCTGAGGCCCATGGGTTCCCGGGCTGCCTCCGGGGCTGCTCCTGTGAATGGCATTCGAGGGCTCTTCCAGCTCGGCCACCGAGGCAGCCACAACCCCCGGTGCTCGGGGCGGCTCTCAGGTCCCTGAAGTCCTGTCCTCTCCCGGAGCCGACGTGTTCTCAGCTCCTGGGCCACAGCTCCTGGATTTGGAGCCCTCCTTTCTTGGGACCCGGAGCTGGTGCTTCCTGCTGTTGTGGGTACTGTGGGGGTTTGGAGTCTGCAGGCTCCGGACAGAGGATTCTTCCTGCGACTTCTCTCATCCCCAGCTCATTCTCCCCTCGCCTCCGGCTTCCGGGAGTCCTCTCCTCTCTCGCATCCCACTCCTACTAATGACCAATGATCTAAGGACACCAGATTCCCTCCTACCTCCTCCCTGCCCATCTCAAGGCCCGCTGGGTGCTGTTGCCCTCCCAGCTCCCTGCTACCCCTTCCTGTGTGCTGTTCTCTGATCCATTTCTAGGGTGTCCTCTGCCCTCATCCCCTGCCCCCGCCACCGAAGGTCCCTCCTGCCTCCCTTATGGGCCTTTCCTACAAGCAGCCTTCACCCAGTGCTGCCCCTATGCCTCCTACTCCCAACTGTCCCTGACCCTAACTTTCTGGTGCTGCCTTTTTTCTGGGGGTCTTCCCTCCATCCCACTCCCCTCCAGACCACCCAAGGGGAGCCCTGGTGCTAATGGCAGTTGGGCCTTAGGCAGGGCACAGGGCAGTGCAGATGCCCCCTCCTCTCTAGCGCAGGTGCCTCCTCTGGACTCTGCCTCACGGTGGCCCCTTCCCCACTTCTTCATCCTCAGCCTCACCTTCTTGAGGACCCCACCCTCCAGCCCACAGGTGCTGAACCATCCCTCCCGGGTCCCTCCGCCCCTCTCCACCTTGGGACCTTGCACTGCTCCCACTTCTTGCCCAGCTGCCTTGGGCCCTCAGCAAGTTCTCATCTTTCCCAAGTCCCACCCTCCCCTCCTGTCCTCACCCTACCTCAAGTTCTCCCACAGTTACTCCTGCCCCATGGTCATGCCGCCCTCCAGTTCTTGCTCTGCCCATCTCCCCTCCCCAACCCAGACCTAAAACAGGCTGTTGGGCCAACTGCTCCTTGACCTTCATTCTTTTCTTTTGGTTCCTTGACCCCAGTGGGCTCTCACTCCCTACATCACATATCTAAAATCTGTTTTGCCTGCCCTTGGGGTGCCACTGTTCCCCCTCCAGCACTACTCCTTTTGGCAGGCCCTTCCTCAGGCTGAGAATCTCTCCCTCTACCTTGGTTTTCTCTCTCTGGCCAGCACTCCCACCCCTTACTTTGTTTTTAATTTTTAACTTTTGTTTGGGTATGTAGTAGATATTATGTATTTATTTATGGGGTACCTGGGATATTTTAACACAGGCCTACAATATGTAATAATCACATCAGGGTAAATGCAGTATCTATCACAACAAGCATTTATCCTTTCTTTGTGCTACAAACCCATTATGCTCTTTCAGTTATTTTTAAATGTACAATAAATTATTGTTGACTGTACCCACCCTGCTGTGCTATCTACTAGATCTTATTCGTTCTAACTATATTTTTGTACCCATTAACCATCCCACTCCCCCACTCCCCACTACCCTTCTCAGCCTCTGGTAATCATCATTCTATTGCCTCTCCCCATGAGATCAACTGCTTTAATTTTTGGCTCTCACAAATAAGTGAGAACATGCAAAGTTTGTCTGTCTGGGCCTGGCTTATTTCACTTCACATAATGACCTCCAGTTCTTTGCAAATGACACTATGGCTGAATAGTACTCCACGTACACACGTACGCCACATTTTCTTTCTTCATTCGTCTGTTGATGGACACTTAGGTTGCTTGCAGATCTTGGCTGTTTTGAATAGTGCTGCAATAAACATGGAAATGTAGGCAACTGTTTAATACACCGATTTCCTTTCTTTTGGGTATATGCCTAACAGTGGGAGTGTGGAGCATATGACAGTTCTATTATATTTTTAGTTTTTGGAAGAACCTCCACATTGTTTCCCATAGTGGTCGTACTAGTTTACATTCCCACCAACAGTGTACAAGGGTTCCCTTTTGCTACATCCTCGCCACCTTATTGCCTGTCTTCTGGATAAGGGTGGGATGATTTGATTTGCCTTCATCTGATGACGCATGATGTTGAGGACTTTTTCATATACCTGTTTGCCATTTGTATGTCTTCTTTTGAGAAATGATTATTCAGATCTTTTGCTTATTTTTAAATTGGATTATTAGATACTATAGTTTCTTAGTTTGAGGTCATAGATTTACGTCTTTAATCCTTTTTGATTTGATTTTTGTATATGGTAAGAGATAGGGTCTAGTTTCATTCTTCTGCATGTGGATATCCAGTTTCCCCAGAGTCATTTATTGAAGAGACTCTCCTTTGCCCAGTATGTGTTATGGGTACCTTTGTTAGAAATGAGTTCACTGTAGATGTATGGATTTGTTTCTGGGTTCTCTATTCTGTTTCATTGGTCTGTGTGTCTGTTTTTATGCCACTACCATGCTGTTTTGATTACTGTAGCTCTGTAGTATAATTTGAAGTCAAATAATGTGATTCCTGTAGTTTTGTTCTTTTTGCTCAGGGTAGCTTTATCTATTCTGGGTTTTTTGTGATTCCATATATATTTTAGAATTGTTTTTCTATTTCTGTGAAGAATGTCATTGGTGTTTTGATAGGAATTGCATTGAATTTATAGATTGCTTTGGATAGGATGGATATTTTAACAAAATTGATTATTCTGGCTGGGCGCAGTGGCTCACACTTGTAATCCCAGCACTTTGGGGGGCCGAGGGGGGTAGATCACTTGAGGTCGAGAGTTCAAGACCAGCCTGATCAACATGGAGAAAACCCGCCTCTACTAAACATACAAAATTAGCCGAGCATGGTAGCATATGCCTGTAATCCCAGCTACTCAGGAAAGCTGAGGCAGGAGAACCGCTTGAACCCAGGAGGCAGAGGTCTCGGTGAGTTGAGATCGCGCCATTGCACTCCAGTCCAGGCAACGGGAGCAAAACTCCGTCTCAGAAAAAAAAAAAAATTGATTATTCCAGGTCATGAACATGGAATGCCTTTTCCATTTTATTGTGTCCTCTTCAGTTTTTTGCATCAGTGTTTTGTTTTTTTTGTTTGTTTGTTTGTTTTTTCTGAGACAGAGTCTCGCTCTGTTGCCCAGGCTGGAGTGCAGTGGCCGGATCTCAGCTCACTGCAAGCTCCGTCTCCCGGGTTCACGCCATTCTCCTGCCTCAGCCTCCCAAGTACCTGGGACTACAGGCACCCGCCACCGCGCCCGGCTAGTTTTTTGTATTTTTTTTTTAGTAGAGACGGGGTTTCACCGTGTTAGCCAGGATGGTCTCGATCTCCTGACTTCGTGATCCGCCCGTCTCGGCCTCCCAAAGTGCTGGCATTACAGGCTTGAGCCACCGCGCCCGGCTCCGCATCAGTGTTTTATGGTTTTTATTGGAGAGATCTTTCACTTCTTCAGTTAAGTTTATTGAAGGGGTGGCCTGCCCCTCCACACCAGAAATAAGACACAGAGACAAAGTATAGAGAAAGAAAAACGGGGCCCAAGGGACCGGCGCTCAGCTTACAGAGGACCCACACCGGCACCGGTCTCTGAGTTCCCTTAGTATTTATTGATAATTATCTTTACCATCTTCAAGATAAGGGAGTGGCAGGACAATAGGATCATTGTAGGGAGGAAATCAGCAGTAAGACATAAGAACAAAAATCTCTGTGACGTGAATAAGTTTAAAGGAAAATGCTGTGCCTTGAGATGCATATGCAAACATCTCCATAAACCTTTTAGCAGCATTGTTTCAGCCTATCACATGGGGAGAAACCTTGGACAATACCTAGCTTTCCTAGGCAGAGGTCCCTGCGACCTTTGGCCGTGTACGTGTCCCTGGGTAGTTGAAATTAAGAGAATGGTGATGACTTTCAACCAGCAAGCTGCCTTCAGGCATTTGTTTAACAAAGACACATCCTGCACAGCCCAAAATCCATTAAACCTTGAGTCACCACAGCACATGTCTCTTGCAAGGACAAGGTTGGGGGTAGGATCACAGATTAACAGCATCTCAAATACAGAACAAAATGGAGTCTCTTATGTCTACTTCTTTCTATATAGACACAGTAACAGGCTAATCTCTTTCTTTTCCCCACAGTTTATTCCTAGGTATTTTATTTTATTTGTAGCTAAATGGGATTAGTTTCTTGATTTCTTTTTCAGATTATTTGCTGTTAGCACATAGAAATGCTACTGATTCTTCATGTTGATGTTGTATCCTGCAACTTTACTGAATTTGTTCTTCAGTTCTATTAGGTTTTTGGTGGAGTCTTTAGGCTTTTCCAAATATCAGACCACATGATGTACAAACAAGGATAATCTGACTTCTTCTTTTCCAATTTTGATGCCCTTTATTTCCTTCTCCTGTCTGATTGCTGTAGCTAGGACTTGCAGTATTGTGTTGGATAACTGTAGTGAAAGTAGTCATCCTTGTCTTGTTCCAGATCTTAGAGAAAAGGCTCTCAGTTTTCCCCCATTCAGTATGTTACTAGCTGTGAGTTTGTCATATATGACTTTTATTATATTGAGGTCTTTTCATTGTATACTCAGTGTTTTTAGAGTTTTTATCATGAAGGGATGTTAAATTTATCATGCTTTTTCAGTATCAGTTGAAATGGTGATATGACTTTTGTCCTTTATTCTGTTGATATGATGTACTACATTGATTAATTTGTAGATGCGTACTTGGAATACATTCCACTTGATCATGAAGAATGATCTTGTTAATATATTGTTGAATTTGGTTTGCTAGTATTTCATTGACAATATTTGCCTCAGTGTTCACCAGGGATATAGGCCTGTAGTTTTCTTTTTTTGATGTGTCTTTGCCTGGTTTTGGTATCAGGATATTCCTGGCTTTGTAAAATAAGTTTGGAAGTATTCCTTCCTCCTCTATTTTTCAGAACAATTTGAATAGGACTGGTATTTCTTGTTCTTTAAATGTTTAATTGTGGTAAAGTATACATTACATAAATTTTACTGTTTTAACCACTTTTAAGTGTATACTCAGTGGCATTAGCTACATTCACATTTTTGTGCAACCCAAAACTCTGTACCCATTAATCGGTAACTCCGCATTCCTCGCTACCTCTGGCCCCTGGTAACCACCATTCTACTTTTTGTTTCTATGAATTTGACACTCTAGGTACCTCATTTAAGTAGAATCATGTAATGTTTGTCTTTTTGTTTCTGGCTTATTTCACTTATAATATTTTGAGGTTCATCCAGGTTGTAGTATGGGTCAGAATTTCATTCCTTTAAATGATGAATAATACTCATGATATGTATGTACCACGTCTTGGTTATCCATTCCTCAGACAGTGGACACTTGGATTATTTCTGCCTTTTGGATATTGGCAAATATTTCATTTCTCTTGGGTATATATTTATTTCTTTTGGGTATATATCCAGAAATAGAATTGTTGGACCATACAGTATTTCATGTTTTAATTTTTAGAGGCATCACATAGTGTTTTCCATTGCAGGTGTGCCATTTTATATTTCCAAAAGCAGCATACAGGGGCTTCAGTTTCTCTACCTTCTTGCCAAACTTGCTATTTGTGTGTGTGTGTGTGTGTGTGTGTGTGATAATAGCCATCCTGATTGGTTTGAGGTAGTATCTCATTATCTCATTGTGGTTTTGATTTGCATTTTCCTAGTGACTACTGATATTGAGCATCTTTTCGTGTGTTTATCGGTCATTTGTATATTTTCTTTGAAGAATTGGCCATTCAAGTATTTTGCCCATTTTTCTCCCCCACATAGCTTCTCATGGCTACTTTGCCCATTTTTGAGTGGGTTGACTGTTTTGTTGTTTTTATCAGACTTTTTAATATTCTGTATATTCTGAAAACTAATTTCTTGGGTTTTTTTTTTTTTTTTGAGACAGAGTCTTGCTCTGTCACCCAGGCTGGAGTCCAGTGGTGTGGCACGATCTCTGCTCACTACAAGCTCTGCCTTCCAGGTTCATGCCATTCTCCTGCCTCAGCCTCCCTAGTAGCTGGGACTACAGGCTCCTGCCACCATGCCCGGCTAATTTTTTTTTTTTTCTGAGACAGAGTCTCCCTCTGTCACCCAGGCTAGAGTGCAGTGGCGCCATCTCAGCTCACTGCAAACTCCGCCTCCTCGGTTCACGCCATTCTCCTGCCTCGGGCTCCCAAGTAGCTGAGACTACAGGTGCCCACCACCATGCCCGGCTACTTTTTTTGTATTTTTTTTTTTCTTAGTAGAGACGGAATTTCACCATGTTAGCCAGTATGGTCTTGATCTCCTGACCTCGTGATCCGCCTGCCTCGGCCTCCCAAAGTGCTGGGATTACAGGCGTGAGCCACCACGCCTGGCCTTCTGGAAGCTAATATCTTATCAGATATATGACTTGCAATATTTATTTCATTTCAGAGGTTGATTGCTTTTTCACTCTGATTGTGCCCTTTGATGCACAGATGTTTTGATTTTTCATGAGTCCAGTTTGTCAGTTCTTTCTATTCTATCTGTGCCTTGGCGTCATATCCATGAAAGCACTGTCAAATCCTGTGTCATGAAAATTATCCCCAATGTTTTTTTCTAAGATATTTTTAAGTTTTAGTTCTTGAGTGTAGAGTTTAGGTCTTTGATTCATTTTGAGTTAATTTTTGTATATAGTACAAATTAAGGGTCCAATTTTATTTTATTTGAACATCCAGTGCCCCCAACAGTATTTGCTGAAAAGATGGGCTGACTCTTTGAGACCTGTCACCTGCTCACCCCGGTGGACACTAGCTGGTCTGTCCAATTGCTGTCCTGGGGCCTTGTCATGCCACTCCTCCACTTTGGACCCAAGCCCACACCATTGCTCCCCTCTGGGATACTGACCCCACTATAAGCTTCCCTGGGGCTACAACCTTCCTACCCTTGTGCCTCATGACCACCCCCTCCCTTGTCCCCGCCATGCCCATGATGAGTCTTTTCTCGAGGCAGCTCCCCTTGCCTCCATCTCACCCTCACTTGTGCACCACAGCCACACTGGACATGGGTCCCCCTGAGCCTGAGTCCCTTCCCATTCCCCCCGTCCCCTCTGGCAAGACCTTCCTTCCACCGCTGCCTTCCCTTGCCCCTTCAGGGCAGCCTCACCCCATGGCCCCTATTCCCTTAGGGGGCTTGTGGCCACCCAATCCTGGCACCTGGCCTACAAGTTTGTCATCTCCATTCCCCCTTCTTCTGTTCGTCAGTCCCCTCCTCTGTCCTCCCACCCTCACAGTTTTCCTTGTATCTGAAATAATCATTCTTGTCCCTTTGCCCGTGTGCATTTCCTGCCTCCTCAGGAAGCTTGGGACAGCAGACCTGTGTGTTAAACATCGATGTTAAGTTATTTCCAGGAAGAAGTTTCATCTGTGGTTTCCTCTTCCCCAGAGCTCCACAGTCTTCGTTACAACGTCACGGTTCTGTCCCGGGATGGATCTGTGCAGTCAGAGTTTCTCGCTGAGGGACATCTGGATGGTCAGCTCTTCGTGCGCTATGACAGGGAGACGCGCAGGGCAAGGCCCCAGGGACAGTGGGCAGAAGCAGTCCTGGGAGACCAAGAGACCGAGGACTTGACAGAGAATGCGCAGGACCTCAGGAGGACTCTGACTCATATTGAGGGCCAGAAAGGAGGTGAGAGCGGGCAGGGGCAAGAGTAATGGGAGGCCTTCTCCAGGAGTGTTGGAGGCAGAGAGCAGGACCCGTCTCTTCCTGCTGGTTCTGGCTGGGGGTGGGGGTGAGGAGTAGGTCAGTGGGGCTCAGCAGGGTGGTGAGTCGGCACTCAGCCCACACAGGGAGGCATGGAGGAGGGCCAGGGAGGTGTCCCTGCTGGGCTGAGTTCCTCACCTGAGTGGAAAGGTGACGGTTTCGGGAATGGAGAAGTCACTGCTGGGTGGGGGCAGGTTTGCATTCCCTCCAGAAGATTAAGATCTGTGAGATCTATGAAGACGGCAGCACCGGGGGCTTCTGGCATTTCTACTACGATGGCGAGCGCTTCCTCTCCCTAAACCTGGAGACTCAGAAATGGACAGTGGCCCAGTCCTCCAGAGCTCAGACCTTGGCTATGAATTTCTGGAAGGAAGATACCATGAAGACCAACACACACTATCGCGCTATGCGGGCAGACTGCCTGAAGAAACTACGGCGATATCAGAAATCCAGGGTGGCCGTCAGGAGAACAGGTACCAACCCTGGCCAGGGGCTCTCCTCTCCCTCCAATTCTGCTAGAGTTGCCTCCACCTCCCAACTCTTTCCAGGGAAACCCTCCCTGTGCTATGGATGCAAGCATTTCCTGATCTTGTGTCCTGATTTTCCTCTATCGTTAGAGCCACTGGATAAAGACAGTGGGTCAGGGACTGAACCATCCAGTGTTGTAATCTGGGAAAGCGGCGGGCCCTGCGACAGAAGCCTGAGCCTGGGGTGGGAGTTAGGCAGGAGAGGAAGCCCTCAGGGCCAGGGCTGCCCCCTCTGCCTCCCAGCCTGCCCATCCTGGAGAGTTCCCTCCTGGCCCCATGACCCAGGAGTCCACCTCGACATCCCCCTCCTCAGCATCAATGTGGGGATCCCAGAGCCTGAGGCCACAGTCCCAAGGCCCATCCTCCAGCTAGCCTGGAGTAATTTGGCCACAGGTTGAGGACAGACTTACAGAAGGTCCGGGATCTGTGAGGGATTCAGCCAGAGTGGGAACAGTGGAGAGGAGCAGACCTGTTCCCCGCATCTCCCTTTGTGGGGAGCAGGGCTTCACTGGCTCTGCCCTTTCTTCTCCAGTGCCCCCCATGGTGAACGTCACCCACGGCGAGGCCTCAGAGGGCAACATCACCGTGACATGCAGGGCTTCCGGCTTCTATCCTGGGAATATCACACTGACCTGGCGTCAGGATGGAGTATCTTTGAGCCATGACGCCCAGCAGTGGGGGGATGTCCTGCCTGATCGGAATGGAACCTACTACACCTGGGTGGCCATCAGGATTCGCCAAGGAGAGGAGCAGAGGTTCGCCTGCTACATGGAACACAGCGGGAATCACAGCACTCACCCTGTGCCCTCTGGTGAGGCTGGGGTGACCCTGGAGAGGGTCAGGCCAGGGTAGGGACAACAGGGAAGGCTGTAGTTCTCTGCCCAGTGTATAACAAGTCCCTTTTTTCAGGGAAGCCACCGGTGCTTCAGAGTGAACGGCTAAACCTTCTGTATGTTCCTGTTGCTGTTGCCGTTGTTACAGCATTTATTATTATCTGTGTTCATCGTTGCAAGAAGAAGAAAACATCAGCGGCAGAGGGTCCAGGTGAGAAAAGGAGGCAGTTTCTGGAGATGACAAGGCTCCTGTCTGGACAGCAGGGTCCCCTCATTGCTCCTGATAGGATGTAGGTGACAAGGCTGGAACAGGGGATGGAAGTTGGGGTATTTGGGAGGGGAATGGGAGCCACATTCCCATCTACACCCATAAGTCCTTCCCAAGCCAGGACTGGGGAAAGGCCCTCGAACATCCAGCTGTGGCCTCCTCCTGCTGCAGGTGGAGTGGGCAGCAGGGAGGGCTGCAGCGCCTGCTCTGTCCCCGTCCCGGCCTCTCTGTCTCTCAGGCTCACGAGAGTGCGTCCAGGTGGGGTGAGTTGGGAATCACATGCTGATGGATGATCATGGCCTCAGAGGGAGCAAATAGTAAAGGCAGCTGTGATCTGGGGAGGGCCAGAAACTGGAGAGGAATCCAAGGAGAGGCAGTGCCTCCCCTATGTGCCTCCTCCAGGAGGCACTTTCCAGGTTCCCACCACCTGGCCTCCTAGAGTTTCCTTGCAGATGACATGGATGAATAGATAAGCAGATGTTCCTGGGCCATTTGAGGAGCGGGGCCCAGCCCCTCATCAGGGCAGCTGTGGTCCCTGTTTTCATCCCACCTCCGAGTGTTTTGTTCTCCAGTCCCTGAGGGACACAGTCCCCAGGCACCATCTTTTGGGGGCTTTGTTCTGTGCTCTGTGGCCTCACCTTGCCCTCCCTGAGCCAACTTCCCTTTCTCAAGGTAGTCACTGCCTGGTAAGTTTGGAGTAAGGGACGGTCAGAATCTTTTCTCCCCCAGTCAGGTTGTTTGATGGGAGATGAAAAGAGACAGCAGGAAGTTTTGTGTTTCTGCAAAAACAGGCCATGCAGGGGACAATGAGAGGCTGGGGTGTCCAGGAGACCTGAGTCTTTCCCCACTTCTGTGTGTCTAGCGGTAGGGGCGCTGGTTTCTCATCCTTGAACCTAATTGCACTATCAGTCGGCCCCTCAGGCCTGAGCAGATGGGAAGGTTCATCCTCTGCCCTGCAGCAAGAGGGCCCCGTCCAGGAGGCACCCACAGCAGGGGCAGCGCAGGTCTGTGGTCGCTCCTGCTCTCACCTGCAGTGTCTCCCGTAGAGGGATTGTCGGTTCTGCTTTCCTGTGGGCAGGAATGGTTTCCTCGTAGGTCACTGGGGTTTTGGCCAGGAAAAGGGTATGAAATTCACGTGCCAATTGCTCAAAATTCCTGCTTTCAATGTTGATGTCCAATAAAAATGTTCATAATTTCAGCTCTATAATCTTAATAGGATTTCCTCTAATACTGCTGTTGTAAAGCATATTAAATAAAACAGGAACTCAAATTTGGAGCCCCCTCTCCAGGAGAATCTGTGTGGGAGATGGTGGCTGTGGCAGTGGCAGTTCCCAGGTGCAGAGGGTGGGCGGAGGCAGCCTCAGGCTAAGGGGACTCCCCTACTTCACATGGAGAAAATCCCTTTTAGATTGCAAGGGCAGTGGCCTAGGTGGAATCCCTGCTAGGGACAGAGCAGGAAGGCCTCGCAGCCTCACCAAGCAGCAGCCCTGGGGTGGAGTAAGTGGACCAGGCAGGAGCAGTGGTGACTCAAGAGCAGGTCACAGGCCTCGGTGGGTGCTGAGGGTCAGGAGAGGCCAGGCCTTCTCGAGCAAGGTGGGGTCCCAGGGTCACGTCAGGTGCGGATTCTCTGGCAGCCACGTCTTTCCATGCTGGGCCTGCTGGGCCCCCCAGCCTTCCTGATGGGATTCCCAGTTAGGAGCTGTCTGCTCAGGGCTGGGAGAGGAGGAGCACTGAGCTGCAGATAGAGGGCAGAGCCCACAGTGGGCAGGGCCTGCCCTGGTGTGCAGGTGCCTCTGCAGGAGAGAAGGGCCTGGGGACTGAGAGCAAGGGTCAGGACCTCTCTTTGGGGAGGCCTCTCGCTGTAACAGGACTGGTCAGGTCTGAGAGGAGGGGAAGGTACTGGGTTCCCTCTTGGGTCTTGTCCTTTAGTCTTGTGGCCCTTTCACTCCGTGCACGATGGGTGGTGGGCAAGGGCAGGGGCTGATGTTGATGGAGTGATGGGAGGGAACTGGCAGGAGCTGGGAAAAGCAGGGAGGGAGGAAGAAAAAAGTGGGGGCCTCATCTTCCCTCAGAGAAAGGGTGAATCTGGTTTTGGAGCAACTGAAGAGAGAAAAGTCCTCAGGGAATAAACAGAACACTGCACCCAGTGGAGCATTTACCCGTTTCCCTCTTTTCTCCAGAGCTCGTGAGCCTGCAGACCCTGGATCAACACCCGGTTGGGACGGGAGACCACAGGGATGCCACACAGCTCGGATCTCAGCCTCTGATGTCAGCTCCTGGGTCCACTGGCTCTACTGAGGGTGCCTAGACTCTACAAACAGGCGGCCGGGATTCAACTCCCTGTCTGGATCTCACCAGCACTTTCCCTCTGTTTCCTGACCTATGAAACAGAGAAAATATCAGCACTTATTTATTGTTATTGGATGCTGCAAAGTGTTAGTGGATATGAGGTGTTTGCATCTCTGCCATATAGAGAGCGGCAAAGAGATCATGACCAACTCAACATTCCTTTGGAGGCTATATGATCAAACAGCAAACCGCTTATCATGAATGCAGGATGTGGGCAAACTCAGGACTGCTCCTGCCTCCTGCCGACAGAAGGTTTGCTGAGGACAATCACTCCATGGTGCTCATTGAGGTTATCTACTGGGTCATCTAGAGCCTATTGTTCGAGGAATGCAGTCTTGCAAGCCTACTCTGGACCCAGCAGCTGACTCCTTCCACCCCTCTTCTCGCTATCTCCTATACCAATAAATACGAAGGGCTGTGGAAGATCAGGGAGCCCTTGTTCGCGAGAAGCAAGGAGCCCCCTGACCCCTTGTTCCAAATATACTCTTTTGTCTTTGTCTTTATTCCCACGTTCATCTTTCGTTCAGTCCAGTACAGGGTTGTGGGGCCCTTAACAGTGCCATATTAATTGGTATCATTATTTCTGTTGTGTGTGTGTGTGTTTTGTTTTTTTGGTTTTTTTAATTTTGAGACGGAATCTCACTCTGTCACCCAGACTGCAGCTCACTGACTTGATCTCAGCTCACTGCAACCTTTGCCTCCCAGGTTCAAGGAGTTCTCATACCTCAGCCTCCCGAATAGCTGGGATTACAGACAGGCACCACCACACTCAGCTAATTTTTGTATTTTTCGTAGAGACGGGGTTTCGCCAAATTGGCCAGCCTAGTCTCAAACTTCTGACCTCAGGTGATGCACCTGCTTCAGCCTCCCAAAGTGCTGGGATTACAAGCATGAGCCACCGTGCCTGGCCTATTTTATTGTATTTTAATATATTTTATTATATTAGCCACCGTGCCTGTCCTGTTTTCTTATGTTTTAATATATTTTAATATATTACATGTGTAGTAATTAGGTTATCATAGGTAAGCTTTGTGAGTATCTTGGTGATGACTCCGGACCAGCTTTCTTGTCACCTTGAGGTCCCCTCACCCCATCACAACTGTTATGCATTACTCTGTGTCTAATATTATATGTGCATAATTTTATACCATAGATGTTTACTCTTTAAATAGACATTTCTGGTCTGTGTTTTATTTCATGCGTCTGGGAGCGGATAAAGTGTGAGGTTCAGAGAGAAGAAGAAGAGGTGTGTCTCAATGCCCTGAGCCAGCATCAAAGCCATCTCCCCTCCTCTTTCCCTTTCCCTGCTAGTTCCCAATGACTGACAGATTCATAGCAGAACAGAAAGGACTGGGAAGGGATGGAGGTGGGACATCTTTCACCAACATTCAGGGGCTGACCTTGTGGGGGAACATCTGCTCTGAAGAGCTGGAGCCTCTTGTGATGACACAGAGATCTTTGTCACTGTGTTCAGGGAAAGGACCGAGCCTCACTCCCCATGCGGAGAGGAGGTTCTGGCTGTGACCGGCCTGTGGGAGAGGTGAGGACCCGCTCCCTCTACAGTGACAGCCAAGAACCTGCAGGTGACAGAGAAGGCTTCCCCTCAACTGTGTCCTATCAGGTTCTTCCAGACATCAAGGAATAGACCTGGGACACTGCCTTCAGTGACATGAACACACCCGGAAGTGAGGTGGCCCTACCAGGGGGTCCTGGGGCTGCCACTTGTTTTGGGAACTCAGTGTCTGCAGAGGGGCGTGGAGAGTAGGCTTTGTGCAAAACAGTAATCATGACCTATAAATTATTTTATTCTTCATTAGCTTTTTGTCATAAAATAAAAGTTACTCAAAAAGAAAAACTATCTGAAAATGTTTCCCTTTAATAATAATAATAAAAGATAAATACCCTTCAACCACCAGAGATACAGAAGTTTGTCAACCAGCCCAGAAACCCCATCATTTGCCCCAACTCAGTGATAAAGGCTTCCCTCCTCTGCATAAAACCACAGCCTGACCTTTATGATCATCACTTCTTTGTTCTATATTATATTTTCATCATCTGAAATTGTAGTTAAGTTTTACCTTGGGATACATAAATTTTGTTCTCTTTTTTTTCTTTTTTTTTTTTTTTAAGATGGAGTCTCAATCTGTCACCCAGGCCGGAGTGCAGTGGCGCGATCTCCGCTCACTGCAACCTCCGCCTCCTGGATTCAAGCGATTCGCCTGCCTCAGCCTCCCGAGAATCTGGGACTACAGGCGCGTGCCACCATGCCCAGCTAATTTTTTTGTATTTTTAGTAGAAACGGGTTTTCACCGTGTTAGCCAGGATGGTCTCAATCTCCTGACCTCATGATCTGCCTGCCTCGGCCTCCCAAAGGGCTGGGATTACAGGCGTGAGCAACCGCAGCCTGGCCTGTTCTCTTTTTCTCTCTATGCTCCTCCTTGAAATTTATATTGTCCTGGTTGAGTTTTCCATAGTTTGCATTTTGCTGTCTCCATCCCAAGGCATAGTTTAATATGGACCGGTTTTATCTGTACTTTCTATAAATTGGTACTTGGCTGCAGATATTTGCTTATAGGCAGACTTGATTTTCTTCTTGAATACTTTATGGCACTCCATTGTATTCTTCCATCAAGAGGAAGAACTTAGTACTGATTATTTATACTTTACTTTTTTCTTTCTTTTTTTTTTTTTTTTTTTAGATGGAGTCTCTGTCGCCCAGGCTGGAGTGCAGTGGCGCGATCACAGCTCACTGCAAGCTCCGCCTCCCGGGTTCACGCCACCCTTCCGCCTCAGCCTCCCGAGTAGCTGGGACCACAGGCGCCCGCCACGCCCAACTAATTTTTTGTATTTTTAGTACAGACAGGGTTTCACCGTATTAGCTAGGATGGTTTCAATCTCCTGACCTCGTGATCCGCCCGCCTCGTTTTCCCAAAGTGCTGGGATTATAGGCGTGAGCCACCGCGACCTGCACTTTTACTCTACTTTTAATTGCCATTGCTTTTCAATGGCTAAGTCTGTTAATTCGTTATGGGTTGCAAAAGAATTATAGTCTCAGTCTCTCATTCCTTCCTCATTTACTAGCTGAATAATTTCTGAAATAAGAGATTTATCCTTGGCCGGACGCGGCTCATGCCTGTAATCCCAGCTACTCGGGAGGCGGAGGTAGACGAATTGCTTGAACCCGGGAGGCGGGGGTTGCAGTGAGCCGAGATCGCACCATTGCACTGCAGCCTGGGCGACAAGAGTGAAACTCCGTCTCAAAATAAGTAAATAAATAAAGTGGAGCACTTGACGGCCATGGGAGAGAATAGGCTATGACCACACATAGCAAGATGATGAGCCCAACAAAGATGATGAGCCCGACCACATGAAAACAACTTTTAATTTCATTCGATCAGAACCGACAGAACTAATCTACAGTGTTACAAATCAATACAGTGGCTACTGTAGGGTGGGGGAGGGTGGTTTATGAGTGAGTAGGATTCCAAGGTGTTTCTTGGAGGGTGGACATGATGTTGCTTGATGAAGGTGTTTATCTGAGATTTTACTTGGTCAAAACCCACTGCTCACCTGTGATTTGTCCCCCTTCCTCCATGCATGATGTCTGTCTTTTTTTTTTTTTTTTTTTTTTTTGAGACGGAGTCTCACTCTTGCCCAGGCTGGAGTGCAGTGGCCGGATCTCAGCTCACTGCAAGTTTCGCCTCCCGGGTTCACGCCATTCTCCTGCCTCAGCCTCCGGAGCAGCTGGGACTACAGGCGCCCGCCACATCGCCCGGCTAGTTTTTTGTTTTTGTTTTTGTTTTTGTTTTTGTTTTTTGTATTTTTTAGTAGAGACGGGTTTCACTGGGTTAGCCAGGATGGTCTCGATCTCCTGACCTCGTGATCCGCCCGCCTCGGCCTCCCAAAGTCCTGGGATTACAGGCTTGAGCCACCGCGCCCGGCCACATGATGTCTTTTTTTTTTTTTTTTTTTTTTTTTTTTTGAGACAGAGTCTCGCTCTGTCACCCAGGCTGGAGTGCAGTGGCCAGATCTCAGCTCACTACAAGCTCTGCCTCCGGTCGATTCTCCTGTCAGCTCCAAATGTGGCTCAGGCCCGCCTGCCGGCTAGTTTGTATTTTAGTAGGCGGGTTTCACGTGTTGCCAGGCTGTTCGATCTCCTGACTGTGATCCGTCTCAGTCCAAATGCTGGATACAGCTTGGCCACCGGCCCGCATGATGTCTTTCATTAGTTACTTTTTTTTGAACATTTCTCTAAGCTAATAGAATTTCTCCTACTCCAAGTCCTTAGAAATGCTGCATTGGAAATACCAGTGAAATTTTTTTTTAATTCCAGGAAATAAACACCTGTGACTCAGATATAAAAAGGAGAATCTACCACAAGAGCAGTCAGCTTGGGAGCTGACACCAGAACAGCTTTGGAAATGGCTGTCCAGCCAGGAACTAGGAATCAAAACTCAAACAGGACCACAGGAGGTGGAGGGTAGAAATGACGCCCCAGCAGTGCATGAATGAATGAGTCATGGGCAGTGGCTCGCGGGTTGCCTGGCCAGTCTGGAACTTGGGGAAAATAAAGTTGGAAAATTGGGGGGTAGAAGAGAGAAGTGTGCATTCACCTCTTTCCATGGGAAGAGCGTGTGAAGATATAGGTTGCATGTAGATGCCCACCAGAGGGTCTCCAAGGGCTGGGGCTCCCTGTAACCAGTTGGGCGAGATGGCTTGATGGACGATGCCACTCAGTCGCACAGGGCTTGCTCATGGAGTTCGTGCATGAAGTGGCCATGGTGGCTGCGATGGACACTGCATGGGCACAGCAATTGAGTCGCCACTCACCAGGGCTGACCTGGCAGCTGCCACTGCTGAGGACCTAGCCTGGTAAAAGCAGCTGTTTCTTTGAACAGAGAAAAAAAAAACAGACAATGCTAATTAAGAGCAAGACAGTGTTACGACAGATAAATATGC